TTGTCTGCAGGTTGTATTAGCCGGGTGTTGTTCAGCCCTGGTGTAGTGGAGGACCTGAACCCGATCGGAAGCAATTCCTACGGGGTGACCACGTGCGAGACTTGCGCCCAGAACCCGTGTCTCAACGGGGGTCTGTGCCAGGAGGCGCATTCTGCGGAGGGTTACGCGTGCATTTGCCCCAGCGGCTATTCGGGTACGAACTGCCAGGAGCTGGGAGAAGTTTGCTACGCAGGTGAGGCTCTTTGAAAATTCAATGCCTATCTGACATGGGCTCCGCTACAAAACGTAAAGAGAGGGCGGAACAGACGCTTTTAGCTCGGCGAGGCAAAACCATACGCCTGCGTCCTTTAGGTCTGCTGAACCGATCTTTATAAGGTGCTACTTCAAATAAATTCTCGGTAAACATGAACTTTGACGAACAAAATTTTGTAATAACAGCATTATATATCTATATGTAAAATGGGAGGTAACTTCAAAACTTTCCGCCTTCCGGAAAGTTCAAATAATAAATCTAAAAAAACAAAGCAAGATGCGATTTTTTTATGTCAAATGAGGCTCACTTTTTATTTTTTCCGTTCCGAAAGACACATTCAGTTGAAAATCACCTTTTTAAGTTTCAGTACAATATTTTAATCCTAAAATATAAAGCCTACGCAAAATTTGCGGAAATTAGGTTCATCACGGAAAATGGGGCACTTCGAACCCTTGCGGCTACGATTTAAAGCAATGAAAGAATATTCGCAGCATGGAAATTTTCTGAAGATTTTTCAAAATAGATTCGTCAAAAGAGTAATTCGCGGTCATTCATATTGTGAAATCTGGAAGAAGATGAATGCCTTTTCGTCGAGCTGTGGAAAAGTTTACAAATGTTTATTAATTCAAGCGTAAATTCTCCTGTAATCCAACTCATATATTATTAAATGCTTTTCCCCGTTCATAATTCAGTACAGTTTTGTGGTCATTTGTAATCAAATGAATAATCTGGTGAAAATGACCATGCATAATGTTTCTGACACTCGCCAAAATTTCGAAATTTGTTCGCCAAGATAATTACCATAACACTTTAACGATCAGAAAAAGGAAATTGTCTCAAACAACGTAAAATTAATTCTAGCTTATTTCTTCACTTCAAATGAAAACAAATTTAGGCATGATTATTTTATTATTAAAGTCTTTTACAGTATTTATGTTAAAAAAAGAAAAAAAAATTGCAGCACCAGAAATATGACCTGAAATCTAAAATAGCACCACACGTATTAAAGTGAAATAGAGCTTTGATCCATAAAACATGGGCATTTCGTCCTACCCAGAACGGTTAATGGGTTTTCTCCTTCTTATAAATTGTGTCAAGCTTTGATCTAAACAAGTGGACATTTCAGTTCGGCTTGGTAATGGCTCTTTATCTTGTACCATAAATCATACTTGAACTTTGATCTATCCAACAAATGGACCTTTTTGTTCCAAAGTGGCTCATTGTCTTCGCATGCAGTAAATCATGTCAGGGAAAAAAAAGCACAATGCGTCTTTAAATAATGTATTCCGTTGCATGTAACTAATGTTATATAGCTAAAAGTGCACAAAGTCGATATACACACAAGTACTTAAATATTTGCAGGGAAATTACAAGCGCTACTGGTTGGTTAAACAAGATTGATGATATTGTACTCAACTTTTCGAAGCGTGAAAATCGAATGAATGATTGAACGTATACGAGAGTTGTCCCAGATGGACGCAAACTCTGATATTTTTAGATTAGGTATGATTTTGAAAAAAATATCATGACAAGATGTGTTCTACGATGTTCAAAGATTCTGGTTATTTTTTCGGATTTTTAAAGGAGCTCTTCAATTTACTGCATGATGATAAGGGAATACTTTCTAGTAACAGCCAGAATTCTCCCCTCATGTCACGAAGTGCTGAACAAATTTCGGACTATCTAAAAAATTCGAAATTTTATTTAAACCATTAATTAGAATGCACTATAGAGATATAATGGGAAAAACAGCAAAAAATTCCAATTTTTTCAGCTGTCTGGTCAAATTTTAGCTTCCTGTGACATGGGGAGAGAAATCTGGCTGTCCTTATAAGTTTTCGCTCATCATCATGCCGTAAATCGGAAAAAGTTTTTAAAAATCCGAAAAAAAAATTCTGAAGCCCCAGAACGTCATGGGCTATGTAATAATTTTTTTTCGTAATCGTACCAACTTTAAGATATCAGAGGTCACTTCCAACTGGGACAACCCTTGTACGACTACGTTTCTCAAGTGGAATAACAGAGGGTCGATGAAAGGGGGTCTCATACTGCACCAGCGTTGTGTATCTCACGTATATATATATATATACTGTACATACAAATCTGCTTCATATTTCAATACAAAACCCCCCCCATCCCCATCACCAGTGTCATGCTGAAGCCCATCGATTTTGCTGATGAGAGGCAATCGATGACTGTTATGTGCCTGATCGCGTCTCACACCTCCGCGGGCGTGTGTATCGGCTATATATATGGTATATCCGTGTGTGCCATGTTTCAGGGGCCTGCGGCGGCGGACGATGTGTGCAAAGTCAGGGCGGATACGAATGCATGTGTCCCTTTGGCAAAACCGGGAAACGATGCGAAAAGGAGATCAATATCCTGGAACCAGCATTTTCGGAGGACGCCTTTGCCGCGTATCCGACACCGAAAGCCGTGGCGAAGTAAGGACCTTTATTGTTTTTTTATGTTTTGTCCGCCCTGTAAAAAAAAAAAAGGTTTGAGGGAATTTTCGGAACAAATTCTCACTGTATTCTGAAATTTAATTGCAATTGATTCTAAAGCTTCGCATGGCGGAGTATGCTGCAAACTTTGACTAAGTAAGAACTTCTGTGTGTGTCTGTTGTGTCCGCGCAGTCAAAAAAAAGTTTTAGGGATTTTTAGGAAATAATTCTCACGATAAACTGAAATGTATTTGCAAATGATGCCGAAAATTCGAAATTTTGCATGGCTGAATATCTCCCCCAAAAATATTGTACTTCAACCCCCAACTAATTTTTTTTCCAGACCAAAGTTTTTTCGGAAAAGATTAATTCAAACGGCCACTCCGATCATACAAACACTTCAATCAGTATTTTTTAACTATAAATTGAGCTATAATTTTGCCAAGATCTTTCAAGATCATAAGTTTCATTTTTCATGAAATGCATATCCGTGAAAAACGTATCCATTGTTTCCGTGGTCCACCCTGTAATATTCGAGAAAAATACCACCTTCCAGTCGTCGAAAATCAGGACCGTGGAAGCAATTCGTTTGCATAAGTGCCAGAAAGCGAAGTTGGAATTGGATTCTCCGACTGAATTCTAACAATTTTGATGTACGATACATTTTACAGTATTAAGTATACGAAAGAATTTAAATTTCAACTCTCCTTCTCGTTGAAAAAAATAGTGTGAATGACAGAAGCTATGACAGCATTCGACTGGATGTCATAGTAGCGGAAACTCGGCGCAGTCAAATTTCTTTTTTTTTCTCAATGTATACAAAAAAGAAGCTCTGTTATCTCGCACCCAGCCTTGTGAAAAATCGAGTGATTCTTGAAATCTGCGAGCATATTTGAGAATTTGAGCGCGGGAGCTTTCTCTCGCAAAATTAAAATCATGTGATATATTTGAGCCGGTTTAAAGTACAGTATATTTGTTATGCTCCTGTAAAGAGCTTGAACCTTTCGAAATGGCAAATACGGTACATATTTTCGGTATGAACTGTGAGCAACTAGCTATGCTCTCTTGAGGCAGCAGGATTCTTTGAAGTATAAAGATCCTGAAAATTAAGAGCTAAATCTACAGTGCTTTCTTCGTCCAAGTGACTCCAAACAATTTTCTTTTTCCGTTGAATTGATTTAAACATTTTCAGATTTTAAATGACTTTTCATCATGAGAAATTCATTTCGAATCGCTGTGTATTGCTGTGGGGTAGAGGGGAAATCTAAATTCGACGATGAGACAGTTGAGCAAGCCATTAAATGGACCATGGTAGAGCAGCACGTCCCAAAAATTAATAATGATTATGTGTGAGCATCTCAGCTATCAAGTGCTGCATCTGTCGTCCGTTTCAACGCGGGTTATGAACGCAAATTTATAACGATTTTCAACCCTCAAGAATTTTCCTTGACAATTCGGAGATCCACCATTTAACGAGCTCTTTATATGCGCTAAATAAGTGTTACCCATCCTTTTTGAACCCGCTGCAGACCGACAAATTTCCATTTCCCAAAAACAAAAATCTGCGGATCAACTAAATTTCATAGAATTTGTGCATGCTCAAAAAATTTATGTTGGAAAGACGTTGTGCCAGGTATTTAAAAATGTTCTTCCTTGTTACAAAAATGTATTCAAGAACCAATGAAGCAGCTACAGTGGAATGTCTCCAAAAAATTAGCAAGGTGGGCTTGGAGGAAGGTCTCTCAGAATTGAAAAATAAGAATTTTTTTGGGCTGGTGAAAATTTGTCCGAAGTGTGATGAAGAGAAAAGCCAACTTCTATTTTGCATCAGATAATTTCAACTGCCATTGCCTTTAAACAATTTACCATGAAGATAACAGACTTCATTGCTACTTTTAATACATTTTTTATGCTGAAGATAATTCTTTGCAGATTCTGAGGACCGGCTCAGATCCGCAGAATACCGGTTTGGGAACACTGCGCTAAATAAATGACTGCATTTTTCACCCTCCCAGATTGGACGTGGAAATGCGGCTGAAGCCCGAGACCATTGACGACAGCATCTTGATCTACTGCGCACAGGCCAATGATGGCGAAGGCGACTTCACTTCACTGGCAATCAGGGACAAGCACTTGGAATTCATGTTCGACGCTGGCTCCGGACCAGCCGTGATTCGGTCTGAGCGGGAAATCCGCGTCGGGGAATGGATCAACGTGACAATGTGGCGGGATGCTCAGAAGGCTCACTTGAAAATCAATGAGGATAAACCCGTTCATGGCCGCAGTCCTGGATCAGCACGTGGACTCAATCTCCAAACCCCGTTCTACTTGGGTGGCACTGATCCGCAGCGAATCAGAGTGAACCGAATCGTGGGAGTGAAACGGGGATTCAAGGGTTGCGTTTCATCGGTGAGTGATTAAAAGGAATTATTTCTTCTGGTGTGTGTGCGTGTGTGGCTGCTTGTGTGACTTGGCGCTGCGAAAACCAGCCCTACTTTGACAGGAACCATATCATTGTCAATTTCCTCATCTTTTTTGTTGAAAAGCTGGGATATTTTTGCAAAATTTTGTGCCCAAGAGCACTGAAATAATTAAAAGTTATAAATGGACTGAGACCCAAGGCCTTAGTTTTGGAAAAGTAAAAATTAAAATCTTTCTCCAACAACCTTTTTGGGATTTCAGAAAAATTTTTGTTATCCGGAATAATTTTTTATTATGAGTTTTTCCTAATTAATGACTGGGAGCCTATAGAATATTCCTCAAATAGTTTCTTATTCTGGAATTTGCAAATTTTTATTATAAGATTGTCCTAAATGTGCTTTCTATGAATGGCTTTACGCTGAGGCTTGAGAAACCTTCTGTTATACTGAAAAATGTTTGTAGCAGTATTTTTAATAAGGTTTTTCGTATGATTTTTTAAATTTGCAGAGAAATTTGCCTCAAAAATCCCATGTGAAGCATTTATTTTTTCTGAATTTCCACAATAGGAGTAGCATTGAATGTGTCAAATATACCTGTAATACAATTTACTCTTCTCGGATTTTCCCAGACTTCCCTCTTCTAAGCCTAGGCTGCATTTTGGTGACATTCGGTCAAAATTGAAATTCACCGTGTGCAAAAATATCCCAATTCTGCTGTGGGGCGAAAACAAACCCGCCGCCATCCCAGGATTAAAACCTGATTAGATTCTAAGTAAGACTTATCTCTGAAGCTTCACTGCTTCGAAAATTGATCCACTGACGGCCGAGAGAGAAAATGCCAGGAATCTAGAAATGAAATACAGAAACCTTGCATAATTACATAATTACATTTCAGGTACTAAACCTTCATGTAAAAAAATAGCTTGTTTTTTGCTGGTGAACCCATTCAGAGAATAATCTTTACAAAAGATATAAGCAATCAAAAACGCATAATTTAATGGTAGAACTTGTAGACAGCTGATCTCAATAGCGGTTTTGGCCTTCTTGGCAGCTGAAATCATGAATTCCATCACTGCTGTTGTGCAATGAACAAAAATTTCATCTCGACGGTATTTTCTCTCCTAAAATTGTATCTGCCGTCATTTTCTCTCGGAGAGAATTCAGGAATCATCATTTTTCGTGCACTCCATTTCCTTGAGCCCCCTGAAAAAATTTGCCAAAACAATTCCATATACACAGACGAGATTGAGTGAATTATTGACGTCACGTACAATATATCTGTGCCAACAGCTCAAGTTGCAAAACCGTAAACTGAATCTGCTGGCGGAACACACGGATTCTGCCAATGTAGAGGATTGTTCGTCGGCTGCTCCTTGCCAACGAGATCCTTGCGGCAGAAACGGAGTTTGCACAGATTTCGGCGATGGCCAGTTTTCTTGCACTTGCGAGACAGGTTTCACTGGGAAGTTGTGCGAAAATGAACCCACTGCGTGCAACACTCGGAAACCGTGCAAAAACGGTGGCAAGTGCAGAGAAAGCCCTGGGAATGAATACGAGTGCTTGTGCCTAATGGGCTATGGAGGAAAAGACTGCGAGAAAAGTGAGTGCTGTTTTAATAGGATTCCTGGGCGTTTTTTTCTTTTTTTTTTGCGGATGAAACTATCCATTTGCAAATCTCTCTGCGAAAAAAAAATGTCCAACGGCTGGAACAGAATTGCATCTGAATTTTCACAAACTGCCCGAAATTCAATATTCATATTTCATATCAGTGGATTTTTCTGGACGAAACGGAAGTCGAATCCTCAAACTCAAATAGAGTAGATTTTTATTACTACTTCAAAAATGCACTATTTTTAAAGTTTACCAAAAGTAATTTCACGCGTAAATAAATAGGGGGTTTCCACGCTCTTCCCCACCACATTTTCGCTAATTTACTATAAAATCGGGTTTCTTCAAGATTCCGCGCGTTGAAATTTATTTTGAAAATCAAGATCCGCAAGCGTATACTTTAAAAAAAAAATAATCTAGGGTAGTTTGGTACGAAATGAATACAAAATGTGTATCTACGTTTTTGCAGCCGTGACTGTCGAAACTGAGGCATACATTGCCAAGTCTGGATACATTGAACTTCCTCGGTCAATGTTGCCTCACCATTCTGAAGATTTGCCAGAAAAAGTCGCCTTTAAAATCACCACCACTGATCGGAATGGATTATTGTTCTTCCACGGTCCACCTGAAACCATGGACGGCGCAGGAATGGATCATTTCACGATTGCTCTTGTCGACGGCTATGTAACAGTGAGTATCTTTCTCCTAGTCATGAAATTTATTGTGGAATTGAACTTCAGAGCAAAATTCAAGAGTAGCCATGCATTCGAATGTTATTCACCGTCTACGATATTCAGCCTTTCAAGGTGGGTTTTTTGAGAGCATATAGGAATCTGCGGTTAGAAAATTTTCGGGTGAACTGGAATTCTGCGCGGTTGCAGAAAACATTTTAGTCGCTTCCAATAGTGTGATTTATTTTAAAATTGGAAAATCGATTGCTCTTTCTTTGAAGATTTGAATAAGAATACCCTATACTAGACGATGGCTTATTTCACGAAAAAACTGCGTTCTTATTGAAGTACTCGTATACAGGTGGACTATCTATCATCTACACATTACAACGATATTGTCTGTACAACGAATTTCTCTGTAGGAAGATTTTTTGGTTTTCCGGTAGGGTTCTCTCCTCGTGATCTAAATTCTCTCTCTCTGAAACAAAATTCTCTACACAACTAATTTTTATGGTCCCTTGAATATCGTTGCAATGAGTGCCCATCTGTATTTGAAATTATTGGGGAAAGAGCCATTTTTTTAGAAGCCTCCTTTATCTTCATTGGTTTCATTAATTTCAGGATTTTTGCTTTCGCATTGCATAACAATTTCACTCGGAAGGTGTAGGCTGAGAAATCCATTTTTTTTTGTTTGAAAGAGGGAGTACTTCTCGATTTCATTCTTTCCCGATTTACGAAGCCGTTCCTTTATTCTCAATTTTTTAAATTGTGGTACTTTTTTGTTTCGCGGAATTTTCATACATGCAGGGTTTTCTCTGAAATACAGCCTTGAACTATCAAGTGGACTTCGAATAATACGGACTTGTTTTTTCTAGGTTGAAATAAGGTTTCATTCAACAGGTTCGCGTGACTGAAGTTCTCGCGCTTTCAAACTTCGGGGTTCAAATTGCGTGAGGTTCACTGATATAGTTTCAGAATATACAGTATAATTCAAAAACGACTGCGTATATAGTCCCTGAATGAGTTATAACCGCACGGGGGTTTGTTCCCTCGTCAGGTGAGTTATGAACTTGGCAATGGACCAGCGAGCATCAAATGGGACAAATACCCCATCTCTGACGGGGTTCAGCACCGGGTCCTGGTCGTACGAACCGGGAAAACAGCCACTGTTCAGGTCGACGAAAGCAACGTGGCCTACGGAGAAGCTGGCGGCATTCTGCGGCGGCTCAATGCCGCCGGAAACATCTACATCGGTTAGTTTATCTTTTTCATATCTCACCCTTTTCTAGTCCCCAAAAATTCGGTTTGCTTCTCTCATGGATCTCTTTAATTTTGAGGGATATTCCATAATAATAAGTCTTGCGGAAAAGATAGAGATTGGCTTTTTTCACGACATGATCTTTAATCGTTTCCTCTTTGATATTCAAATAATATTTTCTCTCTGATAGAAATGAAGAGATCGATCTCTGCTAATTCAGTGAAATTGAATTAACGTGCCACTTTATGTATTTTTTTCAATTCGCGAGCATCAGTTCAAGGGCTGTCAAATCCTTTGAATCACTGTATTGAAAAAAAAACCTCGTCCTTGTAGACGTCAGAAATCTAAAAATCGTGCTATAATGAAAAAATTTTCTCACTTCGAAACTGTATTGTATTTTTAACTTCGAATGTGAAGGTTGTCATAAAATTCTTACGAGTGAAGAAAGTTTCCAAGTCAGTTCTGCAATTCGAATAAATCCTGCGTTTGAATCAACTCGGCTGTGTTTTAAACCTTCTGCTTTCAAAACATGCGTGCCAAAAATACCAAACAATATCTCGTATAAATCTTTCTTCTAGCCGTCAGGTCATGCATTACTAAAATAAGCGAAGTGTCTAAACGAGTTTCACTGAGCATTTCTTTCAATTTATGTACGAAGGTTCGTGGAAGAGGCTTCTTCGTGGTTTCAGGTTATAAAAGAAAAGCGGCCTTTTTTTTCTAGTTGGCAAAGAATATTTTTCTTCCACGTGCTGGTGTGCTCACGTGTGCTTACCCTTGGGTTGACGGAGGGGTTGCATGATAAATTTAATTTCGTCCTGGTGGACGCCGGAAGAACCCTCATTTTGTGTTCTTTTCGCGAAAGAATCGGGGCTTTAATTCGTGCAGAGCTTTTTACAAGCATTGCGTATAGTTTCATTTTGCAAAAAAAATCTATCAATGGATCATCGCATGATTTGCTGTTTATTTTTTGCACAAAAGGTGGTGCTCCTGCACTTCGTCGCATGACAGGAGGCGCTCACAGCGTCGGGTTGTCTGCGTGCATCAAAGAGCTGCAAATTGGGGAAACAAAACCAGTAAATTTTGCAAAAATGGCTGTACAAGGCATTGCCGTCGGCAAATGCGATGACGAGATGTGGTGAGTCGCGAATTTTGTCGAAAAACGAAGAATTTCTCGTGATATTATAAAAAAAAAACACATTTTGCAGGCAACCGAGGGCAAATTGAAGACGGTGACACCAGTGGAAAGTAAGTTGGCACTTTGGCGCGAGAGGCTTTTTTTTCTGTAAAGACTTCGTGTCTTGAGAATGACAGGAATTTTTTTTCTCGTTTCGTTTCTGGAATGAGTGTTGGTCTATCGATGATGATATCCATGTCTTCGAGCGCTCACACTCGACGATTTCGGAATATTGATTCCCGGTGATATTTCTGTTAGCTAGTGAACTCAAAGGTTCATGCGTAAATGACATTTACTTAATTGGGTCGGTGTAAGGACGTGTGCCAAACTTTAATTTATCTTTGTTATGGCGGGGCAAGAATTCTACTTGAACTTTAAAAAAAATATCGAGATGTTCGTTTTAATTTCCGTGTGTGATTCTTGTCGACGAACGAGTCATATCCCAGTGGGTCTTTTGTGTCTCTGTCGTACTTTTGAGATAGCGTTTTTAGAAGTTTTTGTGTCCACATAGTGCTGTTTTATTTCTCATGGGTGGACGAGGAGAGAAAGACCCGTGGATGCATTTCGAGAAACTCTTAATAATTCAACACTGCCAAGATTGTTTCAGCAAAATTTCAGCAGTTTTTAGACTCGAAGAATCATGTTCGTGTTTTTTTCAAAGGAATTTTGTGTTTGACACAAGACCCATTTTACCGCATTGTTGTATTATGGAACGGAATTCTAGAGTGCGTGCATATCTTCGAAGTGTGAGCGATTAAGTGTCTTGTGCAGTATTTTTTCTGCTTTCTGTTCAACGATGTTACTTTTTTTTTTCGAAAAGCGTTACATTATCGGATTCCTGTTGTCGAACCACTTCGTTTCAGATTCAGTATTGAATAAATGATTTGTCGTGGGTGGGTTTGGAAATCTTGTGAAAATCTTCATTTCATTTTTTTCATATAAGACGCATGTGTTATTTTGAGG